TTCAGCACTGTTGATAGAGTGATTATGTGCCATCAGATCAATGTTGACTCTGTGTGACCAGATGGATAAATTATTTTCCATGATGATCGGCCTGTAACCTGATCTTTCAGGATTTCATGATTTGTAAATTCAGCCCTTATGGATTGTTAAATAATATGTTAAATATTGTGTGTTGTGAATCTATTGTGCTTTATGCAGCAAACCATCAAATCCATTGCTTAATGTAATGAGTAAATTACATTCTGTGAAGATAACCCCTTCGACTACACAGGTCTGCAAAAAAAATTTTTTCGAGAGCTGTTTTGGTTATTCCATATAATCTTTATGTTTTTTGGTGCGCTGAATTTGAAAATGACCTCCATTTTGTCATAGGAAATCATGTTTCCTGACAATTTAGGTAACTATGTTAAATAAGGCAATACCTCAAAATAAATGGAAATAGACTTATAAAATTAAAGTTTTATTACAATATTTTCATGAAAATCCTTTTTTAAACTGAAATGAGCTCACCTACACACACTAAACTCGATTCTTCTTCCTCGTGAGGCTCCTCTTGGTGCATTTACGCTTGTGNAGCTGTTTTTCTGCAGTGAGTTCCTTTAGCATTGCTTTGGCCATGGATCAAAGAAGAGGCTGCATTTTTGAATCCCAAGCAGCGGATCGCAGCCGGGGAGCGTGGGACCTTGTCCGGGGCTCCGGCAAGGTCTGTCTCCTCCAGGAAGACCCAAAGGTGGCCAGGGAATGTTTGGCCATCTGCGGCCATACTCCCTTCCTCAGGGGAAGATCCATGTGTGCAGCAGAGCTGGCTGGCCTCGCGCAGGTGCCTCCAGCTACTATGTGCAAGTCTTCCTCCTGCCACTGACCAGACCTTTGATGAAGCAGCCTTCACAGACAGCAGTTTTTTCACCAAGGCTAGCTGAGTAAAGAGGAAGATGGCGGATGGAGGTTTGAGGGAGGATGAGGAGCAGGCAGGGCCCTCTTCCAAGTGGAGTAGGCCAGATCCCCCTCCTAGGAGGGCTCAGGGCAGGCAAGGCACCAAGGGGCAAGAGCCACAGGGTTCAAGGGTCTCCAAAAGCTCTACCAGGGAGGAGGCTAGGAGACTTAAGGCCTTGGATAAAACCTTTGAATGGGCCCAAAGGAATTCCAGATCCCCTGCATCTCAACCCCAAATGAGCAGTGAACCGGTTCAAACCCCTCCCATATCACCCCAGAGAGATCCCTCCCCTTTCTAATGGAGGAAGGATTACAGGAATTTTCTCCTGACGCCTCCCTGGGCTATCCCAGTTCCCCTGGTCATCTGAAGGGGAACGGGGACCTTTTGATTGTGCCATCTGTGGGGAGGTGGAACCAGGACCATTGGTAACTTCCAGATGCCTGGGCCCCTCCAGGCCTAGGCCCAGGAAGGAACAGGGCTCGGCCTTGTCAGCTGAAATGAAAGAGGTGATTGCGCAGGCAATCACTCAGGGCATAGCTGAGGGGATCCGTCAAAAGGATTCCCTGGCTGGCAAAAGATCTTGATCTAGGCCACTGCAGGCTCATCATAGCAGGGATCAATTCCCAGCTCCTCACTCACCAGGCATCTCCATTGCAATAGAGGAATCCTTGGATGAGGAAACCATGGGGGACATGGACCTATCAGAAGATGAAGATCTTCCTCCTGATAAGCCCGCCTTTGCAGGGCTGTTCAAGCCCTCTCTGTTTAAGTCCATACTGCACAAGATGAAAGCCTCTACCCAGTTAGGCCCCACTCCACAGGGAGCACCAGCACCCTCTACATCCCAGGACTCCAGGGAGGGCTTGTTGAATGCACCAGCTCAAGACCTTGTCCCTCTGCCAGAACTATTTGTTAATGTAGTTCAGCGCCTATACGTCTGGGGGGCGTACTTTCAATTCAGGTGATACAGGGCAGGTGGTCATAGGAGGAAGTGGCCCACAACATAAACTGGCTAGAACTACAGGCCGCCAGACTCTTCCTGAGACACTTCTGCAAGGACATTGTGGGTCAACATGCTCTGTTGCTCAAAGACAACATAGCAATGAAGGCCCACATAAATCACCAGGGCGGCATGCATTCCAGAGTCCTCATGGTAGAGGCAGAGACATTGGGGAGGTGGGTGGAGTTACATCTGCGCTCTCTCAGAGCGGACCATATCTCGGGAGTGGACATGTGAGGGTGGATTGGTAGTGCTGTCAGACTATAGACAATTCAGAGTGGTGTCTGCTTCCGGACCTGTTCCACCAGATGACAGAGGTTCGGCATGCCACAACTCGATCTGTTTGCCAGTCCAACCAATGCCCAGCTCCTGAGGTTCTACTTCTGAGACCACACTCCTCAAGCAGAATGAACCGACGCCCTACGAACCAAATGGCCACCGGGCCTGTTGTACGGCTTCCCGCCTATTCCCCTCATTCCGCAAGTCATTAGGAAGATATTGATGGATATTGATGGAAGAGGTGGAAGTACTCCTTGTTTCATAGGGCACAGGAGGTGATCCTCCCCATTTTTTGTCCCAATCCTCAATACTCTAGAGAGTGTGCTTGGCACATTCTGGATGTCTGATGTACTGTTGTAGATACATCAAGAGAACGGCGAGGTTCAGACGATCTGAATCGCTCTTCATTTCATTTCAACCAGGATCCATGGGCAGAAAGGCATCCTCCTCCACTATTGGGCGTTGGTTGCGAGTTTGCATCAAGATGGCCTACGAGCACTGTGCCAGGACTTCCAGCACATATAATGGCGCACTCTACCAGAAGTGCTGCAACTCCAGCAGCTTGGGTGACTCAAGTGTCCATCGAGGACATATGTAGAGCAGCAATGTGGTCGTCTCTGATGCCGTTCATACGGAATTATAAAATAGATACATTCATTGCAGCTGAAGCCTCCTTCGGGAGGAGAGTTTTACAGTGGGTAGTTGCCTGCCCGCAATCCCTGGACATGTCTTCATCCTGCCCTGAGATAACATAGCTTGGGTATGTCCCATGCTTGGATTCTCCAAGCAGCGCCCAGGAGAATGGCCGATGGCTTACCTGAAAGGTCATTCTCTGGGGAGAGTCCAACCCCACCCAGGGATTATTCTGGAGTCCAGGGTCCAGCAGGCAGTTGGAAATGCAATGTCTACAAATGTCCTAGACAGATCACGCTTTTGTTTTTTAAAATGATCTCAATGAGGACCAGTCGGGCTTCCGGGGAGGGACCTTGCCATCGCCGGCAGCTCAAGTGAGCTGCCCCCAGATTTCTGGTTCGTTATCTACTTAACATCAGTAGATATCTGTTTCTTCAGGCAAGAAGATAACAGTGAGNTGGCATTCATTTGCAGTTTCAATAAACGTCCAATAACATTATACCTTTATGACATATTCTAAAACAAATTCAGTTAAGTAAGATATCTAAGCATTTCTCCCCCCCCCCATAACACACCTGTATGTATCATTAAATATTATCCATTAACATTTCTTTGCTATTATTGTAGTTGAATAAAAATTATTTACTGTTTATCTCACCTCTCCTCTCCACAGGCCCACACAAGATTATACCTTTATAGCCTTCTTTAAACAATGATTTATTAATAAGATTTATAAGTCTTTTCCGTCAATCCCAAATTAGTTAATTACGTGTTAAGAAAATAAATGTTGATCATCTAAGACAATCTAAGAGATATTAACATTTCTACTTAATAATCACCAAAAGCATGCGTTAGCATTTCCTTATTTATATCACATGTCTTCTCCTCTGACTCAAATTATTTATATCTTCATAACAAGATCTAAACAGAAATTTGTAAGTCTTGTACATTTTTTCGCCAGATCCCAAATTACAATTTATGGCCCAGTTATTTATCCTAATTAAAGGTTATCATTTCAGTATTGGTATCATAGTAAATTATATGTTAACAAATAAATAATATATCAAATATAACGAATCAAATAATAATCTAAAACAGACTATAAAGTACTAAAATCTCTACTTATTAATCATCAATAATTAACTAACTTTTTTTAATCAACTAGTATTATTAACCAGTGTCTTTCCAGTAACAAAATTGACTTTTCTCTCTCGCCAGCTGTTGTGTCAATTCTCTTTTCAGGACCTTTCCAGGTTTTAAGACTTCTCCTAGGCGCTGTTTGGAGTGTTCAAGCACAGGTTACGGTAACTTCAGCTTGCTGCCCAAGGACTGAGTTTAACATTTTTTGTAGCTCCGCCTCTTGCTCCCCTGAGGGGCTCAGTTTTTAAAAACTCAGTCGCCCTACAGGACGCATTTTGGGGAGATCCAGTCCTTGTGCAGCAAGCTGGTCCTCTAGTCAGTGTAGTGTAACTCCTAGATTTTATTTTAGTATTGTTAGTTAGTTTAGACTTTTGTTTCCCTTTAATTTCTCCTCTGTTCTAGTTCGGCTTTTCAGTTCACTTTAAAATCAGCTGTTTGGCGCGAGGCAGGCTTCCTGGAGTGAGCTGCCTTTCTCTATTGTAAAGACTCCTGGTTGCTGTGGGGAGGCTCTTTGGCAGTTGCTAACGAGCCCAGGGGACGGATAGAGACGTAGGGTCCCCAGTGCGGAGCATTAGTCTCTTCAGCTTCCCCTGGTGTTGTTCCAGGCGCGCACACGCATTGTGGCTGCCATTTTGAACTCAATTTTGGTGCGCTTTTTCTTTGAGGCTGTGACCATTGCCGCACTGCCTGTCCTCACTTGCGGATCGCCGCGGAAAGCGCTTAACGCAGGGGCCTAGCTTTGGATTGCTAGGCAGGCTCCCCTCTTCCCTGGATTATTCCAAGCGGCTGCAGGGGTTTTTTCTGGCTACTATCTGGCCATTCGCCTTTGCTTAATGGCGCAGATCTGCAGGCTCCTGGCCTCTCCTCAGCCAGTGCCATTTGTCCTCGCTCCACCTGCCTAGAAGCCTCGATTATCCACTGGCCTGACTCCTGCAAGGCTCAACCTCTCCTCTCACCAAGAGATTGCTTCATCTGACCACTTCTGCAGCTATCACTCATCTCCTCAAACAGAAGATGGAGAAGCAGGTGGAACAACAAGCTGGGCCCACCACTTCTAAACGCAGCAGGCCCAACCCTGCTGCCAAAGGTGATGGGGTGGGGTGTCCAACTAAGGGAAAGCGCCCCAGAGTCAGCAAGGCCTCTATGGCAGATGAGAAACTTGCTGAAAGACGCCAGAAGGCACTTGAAAAGCAATTTCAAAAAGCCCAAGCTGCTCAGCAGCAACAACAGGCAGGCCCAAGTCCCAGGGATGTTGAGGCAGGGCTTTCCCTTCCCACCCTCCAGCCAGAGGTCTCACCCTCTTTGCATGCTGAGGAGGATTTTGGATTTTCTCCCAATCCTTCTAGGGCCTCCATGGGGTCCCCCTGCCACTATCTGGTTGAGGATTCCCTTGATGACGGTGACTCCCTTGCTGGGGAAGAATCCTTGGCTCCTTCTGAAGCTGAGCTAGCCCTGCCTCAGGCCCAGGAATCCCAATTGTCCAAATCCATGCAGGGTGTGGTGGCACGTGCAATCTCTCAGGGTATTTCAGATGGAATCCAGCAGTTGGCCTCTAAATTACCCTTTGCCACTGCTATTGCCTCTACTCCCATAGCTTTTGGCAGTTCCAACAAGAATGGTGCCATTCTACCTCAGGAGCCCCTAGCTAGGGAGGCTTCCCCGGCCCCTACTGGGATCAGTGAGGTATCCGATGGGGAGGAGACGGAGCAAGATGCTCTGGACTTCTCAGAGGATGAGAATTCTGCACCCGAGGCGCCTGTCTCTTCGGGTCTCTTCAACCCCTCCATGTTTAAGGCTATCCTAACCAAGGCTAGGGCGGCGGCACCCCAGATGGGTCTGCTGGCTCAGCAGAGAAAGTCCCTTCAGCTCAGGGTACCAAGGAAACCATTGGGCCCCAGGACCCGGGTGTGGGATTGTTTAAGGAGGCTTCCCCTCCTCTGGATCTGGTCCCAGCTCCTTAGGTGTTCCTGGACATCATTCAACGTCAATGGACCCAGCCGGTTCCACAGCCAACCCTAGTGGCACAGATAAGAAGCTCTATTCTATGGAGGGCCCTCTGGGGGAGCTGCTTAAGCTTCCCCAGGTAGATGACCTCACGTCCAATTCTGCCCTTCCAGCTGATTTACTGGAGGGCTTAAAGGCAGAAGACAAGAGGGCAGAGTCAGTCTCCCATAAGACCCACCAGGCCACGGCATGGGCCATGAAGGCTTCTGCATCTTCCTCGTATTTCGGTAGAGCGGCCCTGTTCCGGCTACATAAGCTATTAGCCGGCCTCCCTGCGGGGGACACCAGGGCTAGACAGGATGTTAATAAGATAATCGCGGCCGTATAATATTCTGCTAACACCTCCCTTGCAGTCACCAAGCTCAGAATGCAGCCGCGCGAGCGATCGTGGGTGCACCTCGTTTCACCCACGTAACACCTATCCTCTGCGAGCTGCACTGGCT